CCAAGATGAGAATGAATAGGTGGATGAGTGGCTTTACACTTAGAGACAAAATGCGAAATGAATATATTTGTGATACGGTTGGTGTAGCTCCTGTGACGGACAAAATTAGAGAAAGTCGTCTTAGATGGTTTGGTCACATTAAACGTCGACCATCTGATGATCCGATTAGGAGAGTAGATGTTTTAGATTCGACTTGTATTAAGAAAGGCAGAGGTAGACCTAGGAAGACTTGGGCTCATTGTATTAAAAATGATCTTAACTTACTAGAACTAAATGAAAATATGACACTAAATAGGACGCAATGGAGAAAAAGGATTCATGTAGCCGACCCCATGTAGTGGGATTAAGGCTCTGTTGTTGTTGTTATTGTTGTTGTTCTTTCTGTGTATTTGCTCTTACTCCTAATCATATTTGATGGAATAAACTAGTTGAAGATAGATATATGTTTGATTTTTGATATATTTGTCATGCTTCAACTTTTCATAATAATTTAGTTTATCAATTTCTAAAACCTAAATTTAATTTTGGTTGTTGATTTCATATAAGGATATTAAGGGTTTATTATATGCATTTTTTTGCATCTCATTATGCATCCTTCGATAGATAAATTATGATGACATGATTAAAATAATAAAGTGTTATATAATAAGGAATAATAATTTAAATGTATAATACCAAAATATATTTAAAGTCTTCGGATTTTAATTCCTAATTTTATAAAAACAAGTTTCTTGATTTACTTTTAACCAAAAAGGGATAGGTAAGGTATTATATATTTATTAACCGGCTTGCTGACTCTTTGTTACCTTCTTTTTCTACACCCTGCTTGCTGTCGTGCTTTTGTTGTGTCATCTTATGTATGCATGAAAAGGTGTATTTCATTTTTATTTAAAAAAAAAAGTTAAAATGGTGGAATTTTTGTTGTCAAATGAAAGATTTAGATGTCATAAATTCAAAAGTAAAATCTATGAGTTAAATATATAGATACATAGGAATTGAGTAGGACGTATGCAAAGCTTCTCAATCTTCTCATACATTTACATTAATATCCGTTGTGAAAATTTAGAAAGCATTATTATGCATTTCTATATATTAGATGTGCTTAAATAATGAGGTGTATCAAATAAGTGTCATTTGACCGCTTATTGTTGCTATAGATAGAGTTGAGGCTTGAACATTATAAAACCCAAACCCTTTTATACCTTCATAATTACAATCATACAGTTCATACATTTAAATTGAGTGGGTTATTTCTCATTCAAATTTCTCTGTGTTTTTCAAGGTAAACCTGGACGTGGTCGAGGCGTAGAATGATTAAGAAGCTATCCCTGAAGTAGACAAAATGAACGATATCAAACTTCGCATCAGTAACCAACCTCTCTTTTCTAAGTGATTTTATATGGATCGTCGAGCTGGTTTATAATTTGGAATGGGTCAGGATATGAGCGATGATGCAAAAGACATCTGGTGTCAAAATTGGGATAACATAATAGTATTATATCTCATGGCCCAATGACCTTGTGAGGGTTCAGGATTGGCGTTACTGTTCGTCAATCTTTGATAAGAAGCTGCCCTTGTTTTCATAAGCTGTGGACGGTTCTAACCCAACAGTGTGACTTACTCATAGACAGTCAAATTTACAAAATATACAACAATATAATAAAATCTTTTTCTAGTAGAATTAATATTTTGGTTGCCAAGTGAAAGTCTAATTTACTTATATGCATGACAAAGTAAGAAATTTTTGGATGTTACTTTTTCTAAGAAATTAAGAAGAAATTTTTTTTTAAGACTGAAATCTTAATTTCATTTCTTTTAATGTCGATTTCTAAGAAACTCTCCAAGCCAATGACCTAAAATGTGCTTAGTGCTAAGAGGCACATGATGTCAACTTACTTATATCCAGCCATGAAAACCACTGTGACATTGAGAGAGCTTGGAACAAGCTTCATATCTTTAACAAAATTCAGCTTCTTCAAATTGCGCCTCAACATGATCAAGGCCTCAAATTAGCTTCAGATCATTGAAAAGATGCAGCTTCCTGGTCAACTTCCCCGTCTCAACACGAGGAAAAGAAATGAATCAGGTTAGTACTATTTTGCACTTCCACCTCTATTTTTTTCAGGTTTGGCCTCTCTATTGTTTTCCCCACGTGTATATGTTGTGTCGAAGCCTGATTCTACTGTTAAAAAAAATTAGACACAATTTATTCCACATCAAACTCGTGTTCAATTTGTGTTTCACAACGACACGGATGCCATTTGGAAGTGTCCATGCTTCGTAGTGGCACATAAGCACAGTTAATAAGCTTAATAAGTGACACTCCTTAAGAGGGGAACTTGAGCTTTTCTAGCAAAAATAAACACCAAAAATATCTTGGCTAAGCTTAATTTTTTAAGCAACCATCCAAATGACCAAACAATAATTTGTATTCAAAAATAAATGAAGGTTCTGGCTTTGTTTTCTGAGAATGGAGCAATCACCTATGGCTCCACGCTTGCTCACTTTTTGGTGAATAAGAAAGAACGAGCAATGATAAATTTAACTCGTCAAGAAGCACCGACAAATCAGGCTCCCTTGAGAGCACCAGCTTCCTGCATAAAATATTAAATATTGCAATAAAAGGAAAATTCAATAACTTATGAAAAATAAAATGAAGAATCTTTACATTCAAATTTATGTGTGTTAAATCTTGAAACCATAGCCCCATTGGAATACATAATATCAATAAAAGATGGTTGGAACAAACGAATGCTGTCTGCAAATATCATAAAAATGCAACAAACAATATGTAAAAAATATTGACATATGACATGATTAAGCAATTTGAAATAATTTGCATGAATTGAGAGTTCGGGTACAGCACAGAAAAATTCTAATATCATATGTTTACTGCAGCACAGGAAAGTTGCTCACCAAATACAATCTTCATCAGTTTTAAAATGCCAAAGCCATATGGAATGTACAGCATTCTTTAATTTAGAAGTGAGTACTTCTTGGCACGCCTAAAAAATAATTGACTTAAAATAAAATAACATAGTAGGGGTTCAAGGCTCCAAGCAAGTGCGAGGATTCTTTGGATCACAAGATGCAGTCGCTGACGTTAGCAAGAAATCCGAAATTGGATTATGAATTCATACAGTGGGTTTTAATTTGGCTTATGAACCATCAATATTTAAGGTAAAGATTTGGTGAGCTCACAGGCCCATGCCTAAGTAGATAAACATTGACCAAATAGAACAAAGCATGATATCTGTTTCATTTCCAAGAGCAAAAATTCTAAAATGATTCCTTGCATTGGATTGCACATATGCATATTATAAGAATCGGGTGGAAAAATTTTTTGTTAGAAGATTAAAGTCAAGTGGCAGGCACCATTGCTTCTGAACATTGAATGTTTGACCTGATAGAGCACTTGCCAGTGTCACTTAACCAAGAAGAGGCTTAGTAGCGTACGAAGTAAAATATTCTAGTTCCACATATTACAATGAGGAAGTACAGTACAGTTGCATAATTCCCTGTAAGGATTGTCACAAACTGGCCCAAGGGATTGAAACTGTCAGGGTGAAAAGAGGGACTCAAACGGTAGACTCAAACTATTATAGCATTTAAAGTAATCTAATTCATCCAAAAAATTTAAAGCCAATAAACATCAATATTTCTAGTTCACATTCACCTAATAAATTTCATTCAATACTTTTAACAGAAAACTTCAAAACAAGTTAAATTTTATTGGTAACTATTTTCAATTTCTCTTTTTTTTCTTCAGATTAGAAATTCCCTTATGTTAATCATTCAGTTTAAAAAAAAATCCTAAAATGAAAATAAAACCACAAGTTATACAACAACTTAGTGAATAAATATAGATCTATAATATACAAATTTTTAGGCATATGCTCTAACATGCATGTTGTTAAGGAATGCTTAAACATTAACATTTCATTTTACTAAAATTTTAAAACATTTACATTTTATTTAAGATTTTAACTTAAGAGCGTGTTTAAATTATTGTACCATTAAGGTACATTCATTTTCATTTTCCTTTTTTTTTAACTTTTTTTTTAATTTTATGCACACGGGTATAATAGTGTCATTAACCAACTCCTTTTATTAGCTTGTACATTTATTTCACTTGATTATCATTAATTTTTTTCCAATCATTTGAACTAAACACTGAACTTTCAGTGTGAATGCAATACATAAACTTTTTAAAATATGTTATAATGCTTATGCAACTTCATTAAATTAAACATTCAATTAATTTTAACAATAATCATCATGATAAAAAAATACCAAACATGATACATTTAAACTTAAAAGAACCGAAAGAAAAATAAAATAAGAACTACAATTACTCACTTCTCAGTCAAAAAATTCAAATATTAAGAAGGTCAAATCCAACAGTTTTGAAAGTCAGAGTAAATAGAAAGTCGGAGCAATATTAAGAAATGTGAGAAATGCAAAAAAATTTCATAAAGGCAAATGTCTCTCAGAAACTAACATTTGGTTCTTGTGTTATCAACCAGAACACATTGAATTATTTCAACTCTTGGACAAAGGGCTCCAGTGAAAGCAAGAAATAGTGTTGCACCATCACAAAAGAATTTACACAAACAAAATAATTGAATTAGCCGCATTAATGAAAAATCAGAGTCAGACAGTTGAATATTCAGCCATTATGCACTATCATAACACGAAGCTAAAGATTCGCTGGAGATTATCACAAGCACATTTTACATTCTAAAAAAAAAATTAATTGATTGAAGTTTTTATTCTGCAATATATTATAGTATTTTCATTTCATAATATCATAGGCACAAATTTAAGTTAGATAATTCATTCTTAGATTTATCATGTATCTTTGTCTTATAAAAAGTATCATATCTCTTTAGAGTATACCTATAAGAATATTATTTGATAGGAGAGCATATCAGCATTCATTTCAGATATTTTATTTAAATTAATGGATTTTAATAAGTCAATCATGTCCATCGCTTTATCAGTTATGTGACAAAATAAAAGAGATAAATTTAAATATTTGCCGGAGGTACTTTAAGTTACAATTGATTGTGTCACCATTGCTTGAATTTAATACAATCATAGGTATGGATTGTCTATTTAATTATTTCTTAATTTAGACTACAATCAGAAGGTAAACAATTTTACTTCACCTCAAGAGATGGAATTTAAATTTTATGTGGATCGAAGATATGACATGTTTGAATTTAATACAATCATAGGTACGAATTGGCTATTTAATTATTTCTTAATTTAGACTACAATCAGAAGGTAAACAATTTTACTTTACCTAAAGAGATAGAATTTAAATTTTATGTGGATCGAAGATTGAAATATGTGATAATAATAACTATAAAATCTTAAAATTTGTTAAATAGCAATAATCAAGATATTCTTGCTAAAGTGAGAGATATGACAAAGGATACATAGACAAGCACCAGTAAGGGGAGCTAATTTAATTATCGATTTATTAATAGCTTCTAAAGTAATATATAAACAATTGTATTGAATGACAGTTAAGGAATTACAAAAACTTAAAATTCAGCTACAAAATTGCAAAAACAACAACAAAGCCTTAATCCCACTACGTGGGGTCGGCTACATGAATCCTTTTTCTCCATTGCGTCCTATTTAGTGTCATATTTTCATTTAGTTCTAGTAATTATTTGACAAAAAATTTAGCTACAAGCTACAAGAATTGTTTGACAAAAAATTTATCTGACCTAATACATCATCATCAAGAGCCTTAGTATTATTTGTAAAGAAAAGGCATGAAAATTTTAGATTGTGTAATGAAAACAACCAACATTTGCCTTGACCACATCTAGAAATTCCTCTATTCTCACTCAACCAGTCCGGCCTACTCCCCACACGCTTGCGCTTGTTGCTTCCTAATTGTTTGCATGTTGTCACCTCAGTCTCAAACTTGCGTAGCCCTAGCTCCTCGATCGGGTCCACTCATTGTCATTATCCACATCCACTTTCTCATGCTTGATCACTGCTCACAACCCAATCTCTGTAAAATGCTTTGCTCGACCTACTTGTTTGCACGAAATACTTGCTAGCCCTAACTTGTTAGTGTAGTTATATGCTTCTTATTTGTGAAGTCCCTCACTTGCTCATGCTCTGTACAGGATCAGCTTGATCTATCTCGCTTGTTGTTTCCATCATGTGAAAACATCGCCCACACATGCGCCTGATTCAAACCTAGCTACCAGCTTCGGCTCGCCATGGAGCTACCTGCTAGCATTGTCTCCTGCAGTGCTCCACCCATGTGATATTTATGCACTCCGCTCTTCATCTTCCTCTCCTCCACTCTCTAGCTCGCTCTCGTGTGTCCATGCCTCGTTCACTTTCTCTTCAATTGTTGCATGAGCCCCACATAGTATCCCCGTTGGCTTTGACTCTCTCTCATTTTGTCTCCTACCCTTCGCCTGCCGCTCTACTTTGATAGGGTAAGGTCATGCCTCAAAGTGGCTTTTGCCAATTCATACTTTATAGGACATTACAATCATCTCACAGTACTGACAAATAAAGTTCATAAGTATTTCAGCCCCCATTATCATTTAACTAGATCACAACATAGCAGGTGTTATTTGATAAAGTACCATAAAGAACAGAAGAAATTCAAAAAAATAAAATAAAAATCTATATACAACTACTGAGGAAGAAAATAATAACCTAGAATTCCAAACACTGCCGAAATCAGGACTCAATATCAAAAGAGCCCTAGAGTGCTTCAGGATATCTTTTTCTAGGAATTGAGCTTCAGAAGTTGCAGTGTTCAAGGAGATTTTGCCCTCTGATATGTTGATTAACCTTTTATAGTTTCTTCTGGCATCCATATGTGCAAGTCGAGCAGCATAATACAATAGGGGAACAATCTGCATTGAGATAGCCAACTTATGATTGCCATACCAGAAAATAGTCTTCTCATTTTGTAGAAACGTCAAACCAGTTGCGTCTCTCCCACAGGATTCATTGAATATTTCGCAGAAGTTGGAAAGTGGAGACCATGAAATACTTGAATCTTCATTTAACTCTGCAAATTGGGATGGGTGTATGAAGCCAACTTCATCACTACACACGATGAAGATAATTTGAAAGACAAAATCAGCTAAAACATCACAATGTAAAGCAATTAGATAAATTTTCAAATAAAAGATGTGAAAAACAAACCAGACTAGAGCATGATGAAATAAAGCTATAGAGGTATTGTAAAGCACTATAGCTAGAAGAATATTGAAAAAAAATCATTTATCTACATCAATTATATACAGCTAGAGAAGGTGGTGAACATTTGTCCTTCCAAAAATTACTCTTTTAATGCCACTATACATCAAGTTTGCCCCATTCTTTCTATCATTTCAATAATAAAACAGTTTAGCATAGCATTTTGTCATTCTCATTAAAGAGTAAAGTGCCAAAATAGTCCCCTGATTATTTACATGGCTTCATTTTAATCCTAGTCTATAAAAGTGTCAAATTAATCTCCCTACTCTTTTAGTATGGGTTGAAATAGTCCCTAGGGTGACTACTTTAGCTTTACTTAAAAGAGACTGTGTCCTAAATTAGCTCTTTTATAGAATTTGGGACTAAATTGAACCCTAACAAAGAGTCGGGGAAATATTTTGACACTTTTCTATTTAAACTAACAATCAATTTCCTTCCAAAAGAGTTGAATGATGGAAGACACACATTCCCATTTAAGAGGGTAAGCATATTTCATCCCTACGATGGTTATGTCTGGGCATTTATACTTGTTCAAGTGTACATTATAAGTGAGATTTGTCAAGCCATTCTTTATTACCATCTCCAAGCAATTGGTTGAGAGAATGCATGTAGCAAAAGGAAATTAACAAGTGGCAATCCAATTGACATGTGTTGCAAATAAATTAAAATTTAGCACGATTAGCTTTATATGTGTATAATTTTCATTTTTTTTTGTATTTGTTGTGTGATTAGAGGAAATCATCGAGATTAAATTATATTCCATTATTTCATTAATTTAATCGATTAATAAAATAATTTTCATGCTCCCTAAATCCTCATACATGTCCTCTTAAAACAAAATATTTTATAAAGATTATATTAAAATAGGAACTGTACTAATTATTTATGATTATGGGGTAAATCATTTTAAGAAAAATCTAATAATGCTACTCAATTTCTAATTAGAAGAAATATATATCACTATTGAAAGAACATTTTATGTTAAAATTCGTTAATATATTGCAATCAAATTCTTTTTCAAACAATTTGTAATATATATTTAAAAAAAAAAAACAAGTACAATAACATTCTGTACAATTTAGTTTCTTTATCTTTCATTTAATTTAAACTTAACTATGTAAACAATATGCGACGCGTTATTTTTTCCCGTTTTACATTAAGATATCCCATAAAAAAGGACCAAATACTTTGCTCACTTCATTAAAAATATAAAGGAATGCAACAATAAGATGATCAGAAGACTGCTCAGAAAAATTGTAGTCAAATCTAAAATTTCAATAAACTTGCACGGTTGACTTTCAAATGGCAAACTACTCCTACACACGGTTCTTCCCATGTTGTCTTATAAATATTTTCATATGTAATGTGGAAAGTATGACCAAATTCCTACGGCCACTTCAATTAAAAGAAAAAAAACTTATTTTGTCCTAACAAACTTGCATAGACCTCATCTGAAATACAATTTTTTTTAAAGCAAAATTTGTCATGATAAGCCCAGTGAACAAAAGATGAAAGCTACTACGTACACAAATCTGTGTAGCTTTCGCTTAGCCACAAATTACACAGAGAAGACACTGTAGTACAACTAAGTGGAGAAATGAATGAAACTGGAGGTAGCAAAACATAAAGAAACAATTTTGCCCAACTTTGGTCATGCTTCAACCGTTCAACAATTGACAACCATTCCACCTTGTAGATTAGATCAATTGCAGCACCAAATTTCAATATGGAAATGTCTGTGCGATATTTGATATACTGGTAGTCCACAAGTATATGCATTACTTGGAGGAATAAATTTAGGGTGCTTTGGGGTGGGAGTGGCGGTGGCGGTGGCGGTGATAGTTTTTTCGGTCTCACAAAATTGTGCTTTGTCTGCTTTTCGAAAAAGTTGTAATTGAAAGCAACGTTTTGCGGCTAAACCTAGCTACTTGTGGTGGCTGCTAAAAAGTTGCGGTCAAACTTTTTCAAAAAAAAAAATTGTAATAGTCACTGCAGCTTTTTTAACAAGAGTTTCTACAACAGCAGCTTCACAGTTGCTTTTCCAAACAGCTACAGCTGCCCCAAACAGACCTTAAGTGTTGCAGCTGTTAAAAAGTTGCGGTTCAACTTTTTAAAAAAAAAAAAATTGCAATAGCCACTGCAGCTGCCCCAAATAGACCCTAAGTGCAGGGACTACTAGAAAACCGCAGTCTAAATTAAAAAAAATAATTATAATAGCTAACGCAGCTTTTTAAACAACAGTTTCACAATTGTTTCTTTAAACAGCTACAACTGCTCCAAACAGACGCTTAATTAAAAAAAACAAAATCTTGGAATTCTAAACTTACATGAGCTTATGATGATCCAATATAAGTTCAAACTGTTCCAAGAGAACCTTAGAAGCTTCTTCAGGGCATGATCTTTGCCCCATCTTTCTAAAAACAAATAAAAAGTATGAGAGCATTAGTAGAAGCCTTCCCAATCTTGGAAATCAGAAAGGTGAAATGCTCCTTCAAGATCAAAGCAAATAAAATGGAACAGAGGATTAAGTTCAAACTCATCAACGATAAATAGAAGAAAATTACGTGATGAAAAAAAATCATGGCAGACGGCTTAGGAGCCACAATTAAATTTAAAAAAAAACATAAAAGGAGCAGCATATTCAACAAGTAGTAAACTTTACATATTCAAATACAACTAGCATCAAATAGAGTTTAATCATAAACAGTACGAGTTAGAAGCTGCTATTGGATGGATAATTGTTTACCAAATAATCACATTATTCATATAACAAGATGAATAGTAATTCACGCATATAAAGCTGATTTATTTATTGAATTAAACTACCTGGCAACAAGATGGAATCAATCACAAAGTAAAACAGCCAATTTATAAGGCGCAAGCAGATTAAGAGAGAGACGCCAAAAACTAAAACATAAAAGGGAACATACCCAAGGAAAGAGGATCCCAATCAGGGTTAGCTATCCTTGAAACTCAAAAGTTGCTTGACATCAATTGAGAAGATCAACATTTTGGAGGGGAGGTTGATAAGTCCAGCCATAGCAAAGAGAATGAGAAAGTGTAACTACTCATACCCAATGCTAGGAATTTTCAAAACCGGAACAGATAATCTGATGATGAAAATAACTTTAATAAATATCTATAAATTCAATATTAATGAAATAGCCATGAAATTTTAAAATCAAAACCAATAGTAAAATAATATGCCTTGCTCTAGTGTTGCCCAGTCTACTGTACTCGTTTCTCTTCTTTCACTAATTGTCTTCTATGAATTATAAAATAAAACCAAAATGAGATTTCAAAATTAACATGTATGTTAGTTATTAATGTAAACTATGTAATAAATCATATAAATGACAACAATGTATAATGATGAACTGTTGTTTGTCTTTTAATTTCATTAATACTCATGTTTCTTCTCTTTTTTTTATATAAATATATCGTCTCAAGAGCATCGTTTAAACATAATCTAACACATCCATAGTCCATGCGCATACCATCGACACAACGAGGCATAAACTAAGGCCTCACTTGGGACAGTTGTATCCTTCATAAAAACTTCTTTAAACATAACTTTAGAACAAACAACAATATAAAAGGGTTTTTTAAAGTCAATATCTCATTTGGATACAAATTTTTTTGTGCAACTTTTTTAGTGATAAACGACAAAAATATCCCAATTGAGTCAAATCATTCCCAAGTCAAGCCCCCAACAATCATACTTCTCTTCCATGGCATTAGCTTTTGTTGTGATGAGGAGGATGACAATGGCATGAAACTACATGCCACAATTTCCGATTTCTTCTCTGCAAGCAGGTTACGACAATCAAGTGTTTGGCCTTTAAGGCTCTGTTTGGTAAAAATCCCAATTGCAACCATGCCTCAGCCCCCCCGTCCCGCGCGCGCTGCCCCAGGAAGCAGCTGTGGGGAAGCAGTTACGGGGAAGCAGCTGCGGAGAAGCTCGTTGTCTGTTTGGTGCAGCTGCATGAAACCAGCTGTCGGGCAGTTGTTTATGAAAAAAAGATCACACTGCCCATGTTTGGTGAAACTGTTTAAAAGAAGAGTATAACAATCATTTTTTGGAACTTTAGTAAACTCGCAAAGTGCTAACAACTTCTGTTTATAAATAAGAACACATATGCAACTCAATTTTATGTATTTACATATCTAACACTGAAGTTTTACAAATATTTGCATAGCCCCCAAAGATACAACACATCAGCTAAAGATAAATAATTCTACGCCTTAAGTATGACCGAGTTCACTATCATGGCAATAATGGTTGCTACACCTGCAAACGATATGTGATAGGTATGTAAATAAACATGAATTCAAGTGTATGCATGTAAATGAACCCAAAATAAAATCTTACAACAGCATGGACGCTTGCTACACCAGCAATTAACTACTCACTGCATTAAAAAATATTTGAAACAACTAGAGTTGAGATATTATTTAGATTCAGCAATAAGAAGCATGTCATGTCGAATAAGAATAATGTATTTCCATTTCTAACACCTAAAATTTTCATTTCACCTTTCTACAACCCACATATTTCATATCACATCAAAAATATCACTATTTTAACTTTTAAAAAGTGAAATATGTCTTCTCAAGTGGCATATATGTAGAAACTAAAGTTCAGATGTTAGATTTGCAAAAATTGCAACCAATTATCATGAGCAGAAAATTGCAAAAAATGCAACCAACGATGGAAACACATAAACCTTGTCATTCCCAAGGAATTTACAAGGCTGCACTTGCTCTACCAAAAGCAATCCTCCAATACTTGCATGAAAATATGGACGAACCAACAGATGTACTCCAGATTGGAGATCAAATCTGCATTGTACATCTAAATACTGCTAATAATAAACCTGGACTGCAATAAAAAAACTTAGCTAACTAAATGCAATGTTAATACACAGCAGCACAAGTTTGAGGGATTCTAAAAATAAGCAATTAAACAATTTAACACTAAAAACATTGGAACATTTACATACATACCATTCAATTCTTAAAAATATACGTATCTAACACTTCAATTTACATATATAATTACAAAATAATTGAATGGTATGAATATAAATATTTCTACTATAAAGCTATAATTAGAATTCCCTCAAAATATCATATCCGAACATGTCTCAACCAATGGCAAATGAAAGCAGTGATTATCATCAAAGGCATGGCACAATCCAAAGGGAAATTCAAGGAAAACATAATGATAAATATATTGGGTAAATAAATCATATAAATATTAGAATTTAGGTGTTACATAAGTAAATACGTAAGGATTATCGTCCAACCCAATACCACTGCTATCACCACATATTCCAAAATTATTGAGCTCCTCCCATGGATTCTCAGCTTAGCTTCGTTTTTCTAACCAAATCGTTGAAGAACCAGAATTCACTGAAACAAGCATAAACATAAACAAAATATCATAAATCGAATAGCACAAACACAAAATCCCAAATTAGCATCTGGAGGCATATAACCCATAACACCACAACAAAAAGGAAGTTGATGATAATTAGCATTAATAAAACCCATAACCCATAATTTTGCAGTGCAAGCCTCTCTAGCATCCTTCACATTTTTTAGAAAATGTTTTTTTAATTTGTGCAACTCGCTCATATGTTCCAACTCCCCAATTCTAAAACCATTCTCAAATAAACAAAAGCATGCGAAAATTGTTGGACATAATTTTTATATGTAAAGTGAAAGGATGCACAAAATCATAAGTATCTTCTTTGGCAATATCCACAAAATACATATATTCAACAATAGCTCAATGGTATTCAATAATTCTTGGGTATCAAACTAAACAAAAGAAAACAACGGAATTAATAAATATGAAGTAAAAAAAAAAAAATCATAGTAGCAATATTTTGAATAATATTCAGCTAATAAATTCTTAAATTCTTCATTCATAGGCATACTATCTCATCAGTTATTCGTTCCCTCAGCTCTATCATCTCACTTGCACCTTCCCCATCTACATTGAAGGCGATGAAAACCTCTCTCTTCTTCTTTAAAAGAATGATCTAGACGGTATTCAAATGCTTCCGAATGCACATTTTATTCATCCTCTTCCGCCAAATGGAAGTCGATATCGCTACGGGAATGATGACTTCTTATTTAATTATGGAGAGTCATTGTAGCAAAGACAATTTGTATCTGCTTCGAAAAATTGTAGGGAGGCATATCACGGAGTATCACTCATTTCTTTTTCCAGACACAAAAAGTCCTCTCAATTGCACTACGTAGCGATGAATGTCGTTTATTAAACATTTTATTTATTCCTCGTGTAACGTTGCTTGCACGTGCGAAGTCTGGTATGTGATATCTCGTATCAGGAAATGACTTTAAATACCCTTGTTGTAATGGGTAACCAGCATCAACCAAGAAATATTTGTCTAATAAATGGAACAATTATTACGGAGCTTCAAGTTGCTATTGGGATCCCAAGTAATATTTGTCTAATAAATTGAACAATTCGTATGAGTTCGATCCCAAGCGTACCTGTAGGTGGATGTGGAAAGTTGTTATTGGGATCCTGTGTCGCAGATTTAAAAACTCGATTGTCGTGTGTGCTGCCCTCCCAGCCAGCCAGTACAAAAGTGAAACACATTAAAGTCGCAGACGGCCATGACATTTTGGGTAGGACTACCACAACGGCTGATAAATGCCACCTTATCACTATTTGGGATAAGTGCGTCAACATGTGTTCAATCAATCGCGCCAATGCAGTCCTGATGAGTAAATGTTAGATTTGATATATCATTGCTTACCCTTACAAAGTTAAATATAATGCATCCGAGAGAGTACATTGAAGAACATATATCGTGCATCACGTGATATCTCAGCGGGTATATGCTCAAACTTATAATCTGAGGGTCTGATGACATGAGAGGACAGACTAACAAGTGCGCTCAATCCAATTGAGAAATAACTGCTTATTATTTCTGATGAGTGTTGAAATCGCTCCATCGCTCCTCGCATAGACTCATTTTGGGATAATATGAACAATGTTATTGTGAGAACCTCACATGGATTGGTCATCGAAGATCCATGAAGACCGTGAGATCCTATGAGTAAGTCCAAAAGTGATAAATATTGTCTGGCTCATTCGAAACATATTACAAAATCGTGTTAGGAGTCCCGCACGGAACTCTCCAACCCATTTGTCGCCAATATAAGAAGATGTCATGCATGGCGACCGGTCAATGTATGCGTTATAGTACTCGTACATCAAACATATTGCCGTTAGAAACATCCCTCTCCGCTTTCTTCTGCGTGTATCCATGTGGGCCTCCATCTGTCTTTTTCTATTTGCATCCATAGTGATGGGTATCCCTAAATGTTTCTCCTAAACAATTATCATTTATATGAGAGTTTGTGACAATAAAAAAAAGAAATGTTTGCAAATAATTAGGAAGGTACAAAAGAGTTCACAAGCACAACTCTAGAAAGAAAAAAATAGATAATGCAGTGTAAATGTTCTAGTTATGAAAATTATTATGAAGGTACAAAAGAGTTCACAAGCACAACTCTAGAAAGAAAAAAATAGATAATGCAGTGTAAATATTCTAATGATGAAAATTATAAAAAATATCAATTGTTCGAACGATTATAAAAACGCAGAATATATGCAACTCTACGGGCGGCAGGCATCTGCACAAAGAAATCCCTACGGACCAGGTCCTCTAGCAGTTCTGCTGCGAACAGATACAACTCTTCATCTGCATAAATTTTAGCTATAGCACTTAAGATTTCAAGTGTCTCCATAATAGTGCTTGAATGAGAAGCCTAACATTCTGCTTTGAAACGAGAAACCGCCTCGGATAGCTCGTTTCTGAGAAAAGAAGCACCACATTTTCTTTTATCAACAACCCTCATACGTTTTGAACGGGAAATAGTTTTTATATTTGTTCTGATCTGGGCTGGGGATGTTAATGAAATCAACTGAACCTCCAGGGTTTCCCAAATTCACGGCATTGTCAGCGAACCCTGTCTCGCTTAGACTACATGCCTAGTTCCCCGTTGCAACCACTCCCCCAAACATGCGGTCGAGTTTCTCCTCCAATTCAGGCTCAATTCCAGA